GTCGACATTGTTTTTGGTCGGCCAGCCATTGTTTTGATCAATCGGCCACTTTTTCTGGCCGAGACCTTTTCTTGGGGAGGCTTGACCCTTTTGAACCCTTGTTCTAGCTTCTTGAGGAAGCTTGAACCCTTTGAACCTTTGTTTTAGCTTCTTGAGGAAGCTTGAACCCTTTGAACCTTTGATCCTTTTTTAGCTTCTCCAAGAAGCTGATCCCCTTTTTAGCTTCTCCAAGAAGCTTGACCCTTTTTTAGCTTCTCCAAGAAGCTTGATCCTTTTTTAGCTTCTTGAAGAAGCGTGAACCTCTTGACCCCTTTGCCTAGCTTCTCCAAGAAGTTTGGCCCTTTTGCTCCAAGCTTCTAAGAGAAGCTTGGCCTTTTTGCTCAAAGCTTCTAAAAGAAGGTTTGCCCCCTTGGTTTCTCTATAAAAAGAGGGCCTCTCCTCCCCTTTAGAGGGTTAGAAAAAAATCTGATATATCATATATATATCACTCCCTCTCTAAATCTCCCTCTCTCTCTACATTTGTGTGGGTTAGAGGGTTCAAAAGGGTCTAGTTCTTGGCCATTTGAACTACACCTCCTAGCACAACACCCACCTCCTAGCACAACACCTCCATCATCAACCTAAGGAGCTTGGAGGCCATTTTCAGAGGCTAAGGGACTGTTTTTTTTGGACCAAGAGGTTGCTGTCCCCTTTTGGCTACAAAGGCAGCTCCTTTTCCCTCTTTATCTCCCGTTTTTGCACACACTTTTAGCCAATCTTGCTTGCTGTTTTGAGCTTTGTGTATAACATAAAAAAGTTCTGTTGTTTTGTATTTAAGATACTTCATTAAGGTCACTTTTGTGTTTGGGGTCGTTTACCCCCTCTTAGGCCTTGTTTGGCCTCTTTTTTGTGCATTTTTGGTGAGCTCCAGGACCATCTTGTTTGGGCCTCCTCACCACTAAAATCTTGAGGGATTTCAGTGGTGAGGATGGTGGTTTGAGGTCCTAAGAAGGAGAGAGCCATCCCCTCTCCTTGTTGCCTTCAAAACTTATCATTTTAGCCTCATGTGTGAGCACCTTGTTTAAGTTCATATCGGCCATGTCTTAAGTAGTATTTGTGCTTATTTTACCATGATATATCACTGTTTTAAGTTGGTTTAGACACACCATGCTTGCTTTGAATACTTGTCTTGTAATGCCATGAAATTGCCTTAACATGTATCTAGCATTTAGACCACTATGCTTACTTGTTTTGGCTTAGCTTCGCGAAGCTTTTATGCATGTTTTAGTGTGCTTAAGGTCTTTTTTTGGTCATTTGGGTCATCCATGCTTTTCTTTGTATAGCTACCATGCAATCTCCCTTGTAGGCCTTGAGTGTTGACCCCCCTAACATGTTTTACTTGCTTTGTTTCAGTAGTTTGGAATCACTTATCATGCCATTTCAGTCCTTATAGCATGCTCGTATGCTTGCATTTGATGCTCCTTTAATGCTTTAAGAGGTTGGTGTCTTATGCTCAATGTTTGGCCCCTTTTGTATGCTTCCATGTATAGGCCATGTAGATGCCATCTAGGTGTGTCTTTAACCTTGTTTCGGCATGATTTGGGGCTGTTTTGTTTCACTTTGGTCATTTGCTTCATGTGTCACATGACCATAGTTTAAGTCCTTGGGCTTGGTTCCATGCCTTGCATTAGGTTGTGTGCCTAGTACATATTGCATGTTTGCATACTTAGCTCACATGCTTAGGTTGCATTTGGCATGCATGCCTTGCCTCTTGAATCACTATGATAGAAGTTGGGCCTCTTGTTTGTTTGTATGCATTTCATCCCATTGAAATTGCACAACTTGGCTCTTGGGCCATCACGCATTGAAATGCGCGATTGGTGGTCCGAGAATCAAGAACCATGTCCCTTTAAGTCATGAACATGATAAGGAGGGTGGTGGTGCAAACATTGCTTTGAAAATGCATTGACATGCCTTGTTTGCCCTCTGTTGCTGTCAAATAGGTTTCTGCAGGAAGTTTTGGCTGGCCGGCCATATATATTGCCGACCGACCAAATATATTTGGCCGAGAGCTCAATGGATGGTCGATGACCATCCGGACATGGCCGGTGGTGTTCTGTCTTAGCCGGTGGTGTTCCACAGTGTCCATAGAGTGCTCCCTGGGACTTGTGCAATTTTCAGAGGAGCAGAGCATGGTAAACAGAAGAAGCTTGTGCAAGGCAATAGATTTTCGGGCGAAGCCAATCCAAGCTTGCATGCATCCCTCTTCCTGAGGCCATTTTACTGCTTTAAATAGCTTAATTAATTTGTTAATTAATTAAGTGGTCTGTAATAATTAATTTATAAATTCTTTTGGTCCCTCCGAGTGAGGGCGAATTTGTAATAAATGTGGATGCGTGTGTGCATGTCTTCTAACCCCCACTTCTTTCTCCCTTTTACTTATCTGCTTCTGATGGTTAGTATTAGGTTATATTTAATTTAGCATACGTTATGTTATGCATGCGTGCATTCATACATTTGTCTTGCATGCACCGGGCTCGGCGCATCATACTAACTGCATTGTATTTCAATTTCAAGTTGAATACGTGTTAGTTGTAGCATCATCATATGCCATCCATGGATTAGCCGAGCCTATTATAGCTGCATCTTGCATGTGTTGCATTAGCCATCTTAACATGAACTAGACTAGGATCATGCATTATGATGACTAAACTGAGTTCTGTTTTGCTTGGAGTACTCTGGTAAGCATTTATGTTTAGCATCCTTGCATGTGTGTGAGTGTTGCCATGACAGCATGCTTACCATGAGGTACTTTGCTTATGTGATATAACTGGCTTTGAATGCCTGGTGGGTGGAGTTGAGATAGCCTAAATTGAATAATGCATTGATTGTAAGTTTAAGCCCACTAGATAGTGGCAAAACCATCTTTTCTAAAGCCCACTTGAGGGTGGCAAAATCTGCATTTTAGCCTACTCGCGGAGTAGCAAACCATTTTCAAAACAAAACATGAATGTTTTTGTCAATTTTTAGGCGATTTTGCGTCTAACTTGATTTACTTCTGCACATACTAGTAATTCTAGCTAATAACCAGAATAGAACACATGATGCTTTCAAAAACAAGATATCATATAGTAGAAGCTGATCTATTGATCGGGCTGAAGAGGGGTGCTCATAGCTCACCTTCCCAATCGTCCCAAGTTCCCGAGTCGAGGCAACTTTGGTGATGACGGCACCTGGCTATGGCACCGAGTCAGGGTTGTCCTTAAATTTCCCAAAATAAATATCTTATGTGGCGACTCTGTATTTGCAAAGCAGTTCCATGTTTGGACTTTCTTTTCAAAAATCTATTTCTCAAAACGATTTGCCGGATTTGGACTCTTTGGTGTGCAGATTAAAAACCGTGACAATTCGAGAGTATGAACTGTAGTGAGCCGAATATGAACCAGAACGCGACTCATCTCCCGGCGTTCGGGGTCGTCTACAGTTTCTGGGCGACTCGGCTGGGGATTTAGAGAGGCTTGACTCGAACTCGTGATATCACTGTTTGATTTCACTTATGTGATTTTCTTTGCATGATGTTGCATTGCGTGCGCCTAGGACCACCTGTGTTTGCCAATCTGCATATTCCTGAAGCGGTTTGCTGAGGCTTGCCTTGTCAAGAGCATGACCATAAGGC